TCGACCCACCAACAATAACTATAACATCAACATTGTTCTTATGCATCTTCCCATCTTTCAAACAATTCTCAACATGCTCAATGCACTTTCTGAAAAAACCAGCATTTAACTCCTCAGATTTTGCCCGACTAAATTTCATGGAAAAATCAATTCCCTCATGCAAAGAATCAACTTCAATTGAGGCCTGAGTTGTTGAAGACAAATCTCTCTTTGCTTTCTCACATGCACCTTTCAATCTAGCCATTGCCTTTGCATTCTTACTAACATCCTTCATTTCTCTCTTCTTGAATTCTTGCACACAATGATTAACCATCGCCATGTCAAAATCTTCACCACCTAAATGAGTGTCACCACCTACCGCTTTAACATTAACATTGCCAACATTGCTGATATTGAGAAGAGACACGTCAAACGTTCCTCCACCCATATAAAAAATGAAGACATTTTTCTCTTTTGGACAGTTTACAGCAATCTTATCGACACCATACGCAATGGCAGCTGCTGTTGGCTCACTTAGCAACCGCATGACATTGAGCCCGGCCAGCGTAGCTGCATCCTTCGTAGCCTGTCGTTGCTTGTCATTAAAAGAAGCTGGAACAGTGATGACTGCATCTGCAACTGTTGTTCCAAGGTATGCTTCAGCTGATTCTTTCAGCTTTTTTAGAATCATGGAAGATATTTCTTCAGGTAAGAGTTTCTTGTCTTCAGACTCGTGTTCAAGTAAAATCACTGGCTTATCCTCGGATCCTTCAATAACTTTAAAAGCCCATGACTCGATGTCCTTCTGCACTATGCTATCACTGAATCTGCTTCCAATCAAACGTTTAACATCTGAAAATAAGCAAAAAATGAAGAGTAAGCTGTAAGGTGTATAATTATATTACAGACTACAAAGTGGATGAAATGAACTTACCAAAAACGGTGTTTTTGGGGTTCCTGTTAATTTGATTTTTTGCTGCCTCGCCTACTAACATTTCTGTGCCATTCCAAGCGACGCATGATGGGGTAATCTTGTTACCTTGTTCATTAGGAATGATCTCAACACGGTTCTGCGCTTGAAGCCATGCACCAACACAGGAATATGTTGTTCCAAGATCAATCCCCACCGCAATTCCTTCAACTTTGTTAGACATCTTGAAACACTTGATCGAATCTAAATAAACGACGAAGAATGGGATATGTGAATGTATGGATTTTGGGGCAGAAATGACCACAAGTATCAGAGGATGAAGTTCTTAAATCTTGAGTGAAGAGAAACCCAAGGGATGCATGGGGGAACTAAACAGCCTTCATGAACAATCAAGACGTGTAGTTATGGGGAAAATGCAATAACTCCTCGGTTCCACTGTACTACAAGAAAGATTTGGTTCGATACATTAAAAATTGCCGGTAGGTTTCGGATTCAAATTCAAATGTGGTGACTTCAAGCTATCTACAAAGCAGGTGATCGTCTTGGAATTAGTCAGGATCACATAACGGATCGGATATCGAGGTTAATATAAAAAAGATATTTCTATATATAATTAAATATTATTTTTTTCACCTAAACTTTGAATTTCTAGATTTTTTATTGGTGGAATATAATAAAAAAATGTCTCTCATGGTAATTATTTTTGGAGATTTTTACATCATCTCTTCTAGTTTATTCATTTTGAAGAATGTTTTAAAAAAATTGTTGGAACAAAAAATTGTTTAAAATCTTTATTTTTTCATTTTGAAGAAGTTGTTGGAGATGCTCTTGTATATCTATTTTAAAACAAATATAGAGATTATGTTAGAGTAAATATAAGAAAAAAAATCTTGATTTTTCTCTATTTTAAAAAGTTGTAGAAAATGCTCATATACGTGTATGAGAATTTCAGACAAATCTTTACACATGAATTTTATTTTGTTTTTTGGTACATGAGACGAGATAAGACATGATGGGACAAAACTCACTGTCACACGTTTGACACAACATGGAATAGCACAAAAATTCACTATTTAATATTTAGCACGACATGAGACAGAGATAAAGACTAGGACATGGTGGGACGACGTAGGATAAAAAAACGAATTTTCTTGTTCCACCAAAGTGGAACAACAAGATAAGACAATATAGGAGCAAAAACTAAAAAGTTATTAATTTACATTAATTTAATATATAACCCTAATATTGTATATGTTTTAATGGTCACCACCACCTCTCGTCATCGCAACCACCAATCACCTTCGGTCACCTCCACCTCCTCCCGCGCTACAACAACCTCCCCACCACCTCGATAACCACCATTGGCCACCTCGACCATGACCACCACCACCTCTACCACAAAGAGGACAACAACCTCCTCCACCTCTGTCGGCCTCCACCACCACTATTATTCTACGGTCTTCACATCCTCCATATTTACCGTCGTCCATAAGCCACCACCGCCTCTAACTCCACCACCATTGTCGTTGCGACAACCTTCATCGTGTCTCCACCAATTCATAAGGATCTTTCAAACCGAATAAAACATAGTTTATTTATTGTACGAATTGGGTTAATTTTTTTCGAATTACCATCAATTTTATCAGATTTTCATTCAAATTTGTTACTATTATACATGTATGTATTTATGTATACGAAAACTGTGTAAATTTGTTTATAAATTAAATTATTTAAGTATTTACTTTATTTGTGTCATTTATCACTATTATATATAAAATTATCAGACAATTTTTAGGGACAACTTTTCTAGTCATATTTTATTCGGTCGTAATGAAACTATTAAGCGATAAACAAAAACCTTTAAACTAAATAAAAAATAAACCTATGTTTTCTTTAAAGTAAATTACACCAACCTCTTTGTAATTTCCATTTCATTGTTATCTTCTTTTCCTAATTTTGTTAGGCATTTTTGTCTATTTAAAATTTAAAAAGATCATATACTATTCATTGTATCATATTAATATATTTATTATACATTACACAAATAGTGAAAAGCTCAAATAAGAAAGTAAAATATCATGAGAATGTAAGAACGTAATGTTCGTATGTGAATCACCGGAAAAAAAATCAATTTGAAGATGCATTTGTGAATCCTGTAGAAAATATATTTCTTGCCTTCGATAGTATTACAAATGATATAATTTATAGATCAAGGACAGATGTATTTTCTGAACGGCGGCTTCGATCACCGGCTCCCCTGTCTTCAGGCCCTCGTTGTCTCCGTGAAAGAGAGAAGTCGTTAAACCGCTGGACAACCCATCTTTGTCTCAATAGAGTCTTTCTGAAAATTGGAGATATATCGGAAATCACGGAATATTTCAACGGGCGGATGATAAAAAAATATTAATAATTATTTGAATAAGTTTCAATGGATGTTTAACGGAATATTTCAACGGATTTGCAGCGGGTTTTAGAATTCTCGATGAACCAAGTCTTCATCAACAAACCGTCAATTATACATCAAAGATTTTCGATGGAAAATCGACATCGCTCTCTGTGTCTATAATCTGCAACGAATCTATCGAAAATTTGGAAGAAAAAATTATTTATTATTTTGTCGATAATCCCTTTAAAATCTGTCGAAAATCTGTCACCGACATTTTCCAATCGAAAATACTCTATTTTCTAGAAGTGGATCAGTGGAAGTGTTACATATATCGGTAATACATTAGGTCGAACAACAATATGGTTGATTTGAAGTTAAGAAAATGCATGGCAGGACCACAAATTAATTAATTAGTTCATCTATGTTAGGTTGGTACTATCAAACGGGCCACTTTTTCTGGTATTCAAAGTTTGCCGGAAACAATGTTTCCTGGTGGATTTTCGACGGATTTAGCCGCTAGAGAAAGTGGCGCTGGTGATAATTTTTCCGGCGACTTTACCGATAGATTCTTTGTTTTCCAGCGGAAAATGGCTGTCGGAAATACGTCACTTTTTTTGAATTTATTTTAAAAAATCTTAATAAAATTAAATAAATTATTAAACAGATTAAGAGGTTGTTTGTTTTTTGAGATTCAGCTCTTAATAAGCTTTTAAGTCTGATTCGGTCATACATTTTTCAATTTCAGATCGTTTGTTTTTTTCTCAGATAAGAGCTTTAAACCAACAGTCTTCCTCTGAAATTTTAAGTGATAAAAGAACACCTTAAATGTCTCTTAAATCAAACCCGCCTCAGGTCTTGATCTTGCTCTGAAGCTCCCTGATCTCGCTCTCAAGCTTTCTCATCTCTCCTCAACGTCCGATCTCTCCTCAAGCCTCTAAGGTATGTCAAAAATCCAAATATGTTTACCCTACCACCATTTGTAGAAATCTTGATTGTTTCCCAAATATGAAGTTGTTACCTATTCGATCTCCAAATCTGTTTCTTTGTTCGATCTTCCTTTCTCCATTTCTTTCCTTCTGTATTTCTGCATCTTGTATATGTTATATTTATTTCCTTCTTGTATTCCTGCATCTTGTATATGTTATCTGTATTTCTGCATCTGTATTTCTCTAGTTCTTTCCTTCTATATTTCTGCATCTATATTTCTGCATAGTCTTTGCAAAAGGGATTGATGTTTGTCCGCATTCAGTACTTGGGTAATGTCTCTTTTTGGTAGATAAAAGGTTCCTGATTTTGCAAAAGGTAGCCGCAACAAAGCACTCATAAAAAAAACCATAAAATGAGAAGTTGTAATGTACATTAATCAAGAATTTGAAGGTGTTTATGGGTTGGTGCGGTAAACAACACACACCTAAAGAGAAGCAGATTGTGGTGAAATGAGGTTCTGGGGCAACGGGAATCAACTATTTCTTAGTTAACTCAATTCTTGATAATTCATTAACAAATATGTTTTGAAGTGGTATCAAGGTTACAATTTTATGGATATAATTATATGGACTTTATATGCACATGATGTTGTATGATCAGATTTAGGAGGAAGTATGTATATATATATATAGACACATACACATTACCCATTCGCTAGAATTTGATTTTTGCTGTTTATATGAATGCATGTGATTCTTTCTTGTGTGCTAATTAGTGATGGACGAGAATGTGCGTCTGAGGTGGACAAATGAAATTACCAAATGCTTTTTAGAGACTTGTATGGAAGAGGTCAATAAAGTGGTTCGAAATGGAGGTAGTCTTCGCAAAGAAACTTGGATGAAGTTGGCAACAAAGTTTGAGGAAGTGTGCTATGTAAAACTCGTCCAAAAACAATTGAAAAATCAGTATGATTATTTGAAGAGAAAGTATACAGGATTGACGTACTTAAGGAATAGAACAGAGAATATTTATGACCCAGAACTGGATACGTTCACCTTATCTAATCAAGAATGGGAAGATTTCTTTCAAGGTTAGTTTTTATTAATTTTTACCTTTTTAGATATTAAAGACAAAAGTACCGGTAGTATATAAATAATTATATTTAATTTGGATGTAAGGACATCCAAAAGCAAGAATTTTAAAAACATCATCATTGGTTTATCCTGAATTATGTATAGCTTTGTTCGAGGGGGTTTCTACTACCGGATCTCGTGCTTATGTCCCTACTTCAACCCGTGAGAACTAAGATTTCGTCATCATCATTTACATCTAATATCCACACTACTGAAAATACTTAAAATGAGGTGGATGGAGATGAGAAGGAAGGACCAACTGTCGATAAATCGAGCACAACCCCGTCTAACCCAAATAAGAAGAGTAAAACCAAGGTCAACATGGATGAATTGTCTTTAGAAATGAGGGGTGCACTTCATACACTTGTTACACAACAAACCACACTTGCACAACAAACCTCAAAACTAAATGTTTGTATTGAACTGCTGAACACTCTTGGCCTTGATAAAAGGAGTCCTCTTTACAGTGCAGTCATTGACATTTTTGGGCAGTCAACATTATTAAGAGAGACATGATTGACGATCTCTTCAAACACTAATATATTAACATCATGAATTTCAAGGACGACAAGACAATTGGGATTCATGGATTAGTTTTTAGAATTTGAACAAGTTACTTCGTTATGTGTTCTGTATTTGAACATATTATTTGCTTATATGTTTGATTTTTGACTACTTGGTTACGTGTTTTGGAAGTTGAACAAGTTGTTATTTGGTAATGAATTTGATATTGAAGTTTACTACTATTTATAATTTTATTTATGCTTTTAACAGGTTTATCATGGATAATAATCAAATCATCATGGATAATAATAATAAAAACCTATACTTCTCATCGTCGTATTCTTGTATATGTTTTACTTGCGACAAAGACGTTTGAAAAGGAAAACAGATAATACGTCTGCAATGACTGGACGTCAATTAATGAATGAGCTAGTTGAAGGTAGTGATCGTCAACATATTGAGTTGTTGCTAATGTTCCGTGGAGCTTTCATTCGACTATGTGATCACTTTAAAGCAAAAGGTTGGTTAACGGATAACAAACATATATTGGTCGAAGAAAAAGATGGCTATTTTCCTGACGGTTATTGGTCACAATCAACATTATAGAGTGTTGAAAAACAGGTTTCAGCACTCAACACAAACAATTCATAAAAAAATTCATGAAGATAAAATGATGGAGTTTGCAAAAGAGATCATAGTTCCTACATCATTCAATACTAATCCAAACATCCCTGGAAATTATAGGAGGTTACGACGAATATTTGAGGTAAACGATAATCTAATAACAGTTGTATAACTTTCCTTACTAAATTTATTTTGACTATTAACTTTAATGTAGGGAGTAATTGGCGCCTTAGATGAAACTTTAATACATGCTATCTTCCCTATTCAAAAACAACATTTGTATAGAGGACGAGGAAATGATGAATGTTATCAAAATGTTTTGGCAATTTGTGATTTCAACATATTTTTTTTTATGATTTTGAACCAATTACTAAGTTTGATATAATAAAAGACTGATATATAAGACTTATTAATATATATATATATATATATATATATATGGACAAGATCAAATGTTAACCAAAGTTTTTATGTTAACTTTGCAAACCATGTCAACCAATCACAATCCATTCTTTTATTAGGTTTCTATCATGTTCACAATTTAATACCAAGAGTAATTGAGTAAATTCATTGGCTATGTAACTCCCATATCATTAAAGGGAAGGGGAGTTACATAATCATAAAATCTCTAAAAATATACATTTATTATATTGATATTTTTATTTATTTTTTAATCTTGATCTTTATTTTATTGTTTTATGAGTTTTTTATTCGTGGAGGAAACACGGTAGTAAAATCTTCGATATCGTTCAAACTATTATGGATAAATGCATTGGAAAAAAAATCGACAACATTGAGAAGATTAAAATGGTTTATGGTGAAAATCGGAGTTCGAGTTCGAGTTCGGAAAGTGAAGAAATTAACCAAAGTGAATGTCTTGGTAATAGATTAATATTTTATTAGACTCGTTTTAATCGAAATTATGTTCATTATGTATTTATGATGTGTTGTGTTTTTTGTAGTTCATATTGCGTTGATAACTTTTTTCTTTAATTATTAATACGTACATAATTCACATGTTCAAATGGAAGTACATGCACGACCCATTTTCATATTGTATATTACCGACTTTTATGAATCATGAACAATTGTGTTCATGTTACTTCTATCATATGAACACAAGTGTTATTTGTTAAGCTTGATACCAAATCTTTATATTTGTATAAGTGTTTGCACCCGGTGTTCATAGCGTCAGAGTTATGTGTTCATCTATTTTATACGATATGAACAAGGGGTGAACACGATATGAACAAGCGGTAAACAACCACATAAGACTAGAAACATATATGAACAAGTGGTGAACCTTAAACGGTGTGGATGCAATGCATGTATAAAACTCCAATTGACAAAGTATCGCTCCTGAATGTGTTTATAATGAAGGAACTATGTTCACAAGCTATTCATATTGTGTTCATACTTGTTTTATTTATTTATTTCCTTTCGTATAACGGTTGTTCTTATTGTGTTCATAAATGCTATGCAGTCCAAGTTCATATATATGTCAATTTTTTGTTCGTATTTGACACAATGGTTCATATATATATATATATAGGGGCCTAATCAAATGAGAACTGATTAATTTGTGGTAACTCTGAAAACCAATGTGATCCACTCATTTAAATAATTAATATTATATCCTGAAATAACATAAAGGGTAAATTGGTAATGTTTATAATTTTAAAACCCTACTCTTCTCCTTCATTATGAAACAGCCGTCCTCCAGCATAGGCATGCTTCTCTTCCTTTCTTTCCCCCTTCTCACGCACAACAACCACCACACCATCATTCATCATCACATGGAAAATCAATCAAACCAGGTAACAGAGTTTTTATATAAGTGGGAGAACGATCATCATTGATGATGCGTTGAATAAGAGGTTGAAGATCCTTGTAAGTGACCATTAGAATCTTCGACTTGAAAGTTTCTCGATCGGTGGCTCCATCAAGATTGTAAAGCTTGAGATACTCAGTTTTATCGTTCCGACTTAGTATCACCGCCAAAACATTCGCCTAAACGGTGTCAGCGCTGCTCGTCATCTTCTCGATGAACTCAAGCGCCTTCGCATCTTTTTCGAACGCCGGAAAATCCACAAAAGATCTCCGATCATCAGTCGCCATGATGATGATGGTAGATTAGCACAGGTGTCGCCGGAGATGTAAACCAGATCTCGTCGGAGATGTAACTTTGAAGATGTGCCACTCCTTTTCTGTGGTACACAGTGGTACCCCAATGGTATCACAGTATATCATAATGGGTATCACATTGTGTATCTTTGTGATTACTTGGTACCTACCGGATTTTTGTTCACCGAAGGCCGGAGATTGGAGGTCGGAGAGATGAGAGAGGAGAGAGGAGTTTTTTAAAAATACCTAAAATGCCCTATAATTATAATTTTAACTCAAACTACCATAATTATTAATTTTCTAATTTATTCGTTAATTTGTGGTTGAGATTGGTTCTCACAGTTAACACAAACTAATCAGTTCTCATTTGAATGGGCCCCTATATATATATAGTTGTGTTCATATGATTATTATATTAACAAAAATAAATTAATAAAAATCATAGAATATTTTGATTTTCTAACTCCCAATTAATGATATGGGAGTTACATAATTTTGTTTTACCTAAATACCCTTTTCAACTTTGTTCACTTATTTTTATAAAATTTTAAATTTAATAAAATAATTTTTTATCATGATTAATCACAACCATTTATTGAAAGATTAAATAGCCAAGATCGGTTAACAAAGTTAATACAAAAACTTTGGTTAACATTTGAACCATATATATATATATATATATATATATATATATATAATTTAATATATAAACGTGATCATCGACTCATTTAGCTAACTTAAATAATAATAATAAAATTATTGTCGTTGCACGACGTAAAACACTAATTTTTAATATAAATACAGTGCATCATAGTTAGGGGCTGTTTGATTCATGGATTTGGATGAAATTGAAAGGAATTGGAATGACCAAATCCTTTAACCAAATTCCAAATACAATGTTTGGTTCATGGAATAATAATGATGGAATCCTTTCAATTCCAATAAATTCCTTCACTCATGGATTTTACATTCCACGGCAATGCCCTCGGATTTCAATTCCTTTCCGACAAATTCTTTCTCTAATCCAAATTCATTCAACGTTGCGTCTACCATCTAATTGATCTTTGGTTCGATCTCCATCTGGTACGCTCTCTCTCTCTCTCTCTCTCTCTCTCTCGTAATTTCTCCATCTATACGAGATTGATAGACAACATTTGTAATCAAGGAACCAATTCAAGAAAACCAGCTATCGATATCACTAGTCCAAATCCGTTATTTAAAAATCATAAAAGGTCATTTGTTGATATTTAATTCCGATTCCAAAGTTGAATTCCGTGAACCAAACAAAAAAATTTCAACCCGCTAAGAATTTCATTCCAATTCCATGCAACCAAACGCAGTCACAAGGCATGGTCAAATTCCATCAAATTTCATTCAATTCCTTCGAAGTCAAATTCATTTGATGAATTCCAATTCCATATAATTTCATTCTACGAACCAAACGCCCCCTTAATATTTGCTAAATCTCAATGAATTGTCATTATTATTCTAATTTGGTCAATTTCTTATGCGGTTATCCCCAAGGTCCCTCCCACCAACTTTGGTCTAAGAGGGTCTCTCAAGTTCCCAACATACATAGCACATGAGAGCCATCAGATCATTTTGTTTAAAAGGCCCGCATGACTTGCTTCCAAGTTGCAATCTCTTTAACACAATTTCTCAAAACCATATTGCACAAATCGTCCCTTCAAACTGCTAAAACCGGAGCTCATCTTCAAGCTATATAGAGCGCAAACTTCACAACGTTGTCAATGCCACCGACAATGTGCCAACTTCGAG